TTTGCGGGGCATTTCGGGGCCGCGGCCGGGGGTGGCGGCGATCGAGGACCCTTGGCGCCCCCTGCGCGGCGGCGGATGCCATTGTCTGCCCGCTCCTTGCCTGTCAACTCGCCGGGGCGCGATCGGTGATGGAGTGCGGGCCCCGTGGGGAAGCATCGGAGGCGGCCGGACAGAGGACCGCTGGCCCCGAGCCTGCTCCGTGGCGGAGCCCGTTGTTTTTCATAGCAGTCTCGAGGAATTGAGGTGCCCCTGTGCTTGGCGGCAAAATCAAAGCATTGTTTTTAACAAGAGGGAGAAAATAGTTGCGTCTTGCTGTTCGTCCCGTATCCGCACATCATTTATTTTAAAGAGTGAATTATTTCTTCGTCCTATAAAGTGTTAGGGAGGGGGATATAGAACCCTGGTACAGACAGCCTTGAAGCCCTTTACTCCGTTCGCAAGCAAACCCCCACCCCTCCGGGCCACCAAGATCCTGGAATACCGGTCTGTTCTCTCCCAAGTTCTGGTAATGGGCTTGCATTAAACGTTGTCCAGTTGATGCTGTACTTGCTGTCCTCTTCGAACGCCGCTATCTTAACAGGACTCGAATGGGAGGCACTTTGATACCACAAATACTGTTCGTTAATTTTGTGCCAGTGAAGTGTTTTAAGTGAGGCGCAGTTAGCCAATTTTAACTTTAATAAAGTTAAATTGCTGCATCATACCTTTCTAAGTATCTTGCTGATGCGTGTTTGGATTAGTACAAAAAGCGACAATAATTTCTGAGCAAAATTTAGGACCCATTTTATTCTAAATTGGTTGTGTAAATTCTCCCACCCCATGTTCAAATTCAAGATGGTGTGGCGAATATTAAGAATCAGGCTGGAATCTTACTTGCAGTAACACTATTAAAGGAACTTAGAATAGTGAAAAGAAATAAAAATACCTGTCTGAATTCTACCTTTAAATTACCTTTGTAGAAACAATGCTTATTTGTTTATACTTAAGATCAGTTGAATTACAAGAAGTTTTTCTTGAAAATTAAACATGTAGACTAATCAACAGATTTGCATATTCCAAATAAATATATACAACATAGTATATGTAAAATACACTGGAATTCAGCATCCACTCCATCTGTAAATGCTATTTTTAAAATTTTTAAATGAAGTATTTTGTATAATGTTTTTGAATGTACATTATTAGGGCTTTTCAAAGGTTTATGTTCTTTTTCATAATACATTACCACTTTATTGTGTGCATATTTATGTTGGAATTTTTAAAAAGTGAGATGAGAAGGGATACATAAAATTAGGCTTTTATTAAGGAAAACGTGTGTTTATGGGATATTTTGGGTTAATATTTTAGATCTGTTTAAAATATGTAAGCATAAAAATAATATTGAATGTAAACTGTAATTGAAAAATAAAAATAAATAAAATAAAATATGTAAGCATAAACTGAAGAAAGCATTCTAAGTGATAGCAGCCTGCCTACAAGTAATTCATCCTGGAACAAGAACAGCCTAAGGGTGAAAAATAGTAGGTCTTCCGTTTCTTTCAAATGTACCTAACCCAGTTGATGTTAACAGTTCTCTTTTGATGCATATAGAGAGGGTGGAATGTATAGCACAGATAGACAATAGTTTCGTAAATTGCAAGAATTGTCTTTCTTCTACCACAACATTTTCACTTCAACTTAATGCCTGTTTTTCTTTTTGTTCTGCAGACTCCAAAACTAAGTGGAACAGGGTGGGGTGGGGAGCTCTGCATTTGGTGGGAATATATTTCTACAAGAATTTCTGGCTATTTTAACTGGCATAGAAATATTGATGGCTACTAATCATTCATCAGTTAAACTCCCTGTCCACCAAGCTTCTCTGTGAAACATGTCATCTTAATCTTAACTTTATTGAATCAAAGTATTGCATGTAATTTTGATTCTATTTATCTTAACAGATGCAGTTTATGTTGCTTTTTAGTCGTCAGGGAAAGCTTCGGCTGCAGAAATGGTATGTCCCACTATCAGACAAAGAGAAGAAAAAGATCACAAGAGAACTTGTTCAAACCGTTTTAGCACGGAAGCCTAAAATGTGCAGCTTTCTTGAGTGGCGAGATCTGAAGATTGTTTACAAGAGGTATAATTTTTATTTTTCAGAAAGGGGAAAGCAGAATCAAACGTTGGTCATTTGTAATCTGGAAATTGCAGACTTTTGAGAGAGAACAATTAACAAAGATTTAGATGAAAAAGGTTTTAAGTTAAAGCTTTGTATTTTTAAAAAAATAACTTGTTTTTATTACCCAGGCTAACATGATAAAATCAGGGAAGTTGTTTTAAAACTAATTATATAATTAAAGTCTTAATCATCTTTTTTAGAAAAATTCAATGAATTCATCCCTTTGCAGGGGGAAATAGAATCAGTATTTTAAATTGTGAGTAATTCTCTGAATTTAGATAAGCATTTTCTCCCTCTTCTATCTATAAAGACTGATAATTGACATGCCTTTCATCTGACTTTTAGAATCTTATTCATTTTTAAACACCTTGAATACATAGACCATTCGAGTCCTATAAATGTTTAAAAATTTTGTGTATATACAGGATCTATTAGTAGTGTTTATTGATTTGATGTATACTTGTTGCTGTGGTAGAGGTGTGATTAGATCTGATAATTTCGCCAAGAATAGAGTAAAAATTTTTAACACTTATCTTTTTAAAAAATGCATATATTTTTATTAGCAGCTGAAATTCTAAGTATATGAAAATAAATTTCTCAAGATTGTTCTAATCATGTTAAAAGAAATATAATTATTTTGTTTTTTTCCCCCTATTTCTTTACCCTTAGGAATAATTTACTGTTTTTAAGATACAAGGGTTGCTGCATGTGAAAAATTCTCTTCTATGGGGGAATGTGTAGAGAACTAACAATATGGACTACGAGGAGGGTTGAAGAGAAATCTGGGTTTTATCGCAGCTTTCCTGTATTCCACTCCAAGTGTGGATGGTACATATTGTGGGGGAAATAGAGGAGGAAGTAAGGGAGATTATAGGACATTGAGAATTTAAAAAATACTGTAGACCCCTTTCTCCAATAAAATGAATTTAGTCATCTTTGGGTGATTTTATATTCAGTGTTCGATTTACTACTTGTTGAGAAAAGTCATAGCATTTTAGAGCTGGGAAATGTCTTAGAATATCTAGTTAAGTGATTTTTTTAAATTGAGGTAACTTGACATATAAATTATATTACTTTTCATATGATTAAAGAAAAAGCTTTTTGCCCCAAGGATAGAGCCTTAAATGAAACAAATGGAAGTGGAGGTGCTCTTGTGGAATAAAGACTGGGATCCTGTACCCCTGCTCACTTGGCCTCTACCCTCTGTATAGATGGTTCCTGAGTTTGAAAACTACTACTGTTGATCAAACTTCAATTTTATTTTTTTTAAATGAGGATTTGGGAGAAGTGACTTGTCCAAGGTCATATGCTAGTTAGTGACTGACATAGGGGCTACAGCTCAAATCTTAAGCTTGGAGGCAAAGGATTTGACCAGTGATCAAAAAAGATTTGCTCTTCGTAATCAGAGAATGGGGTGGGGGGGAAGGACTGAGACTGGAACCTGAGGGGAGATCTGTTTGGAGACCGAATTATAATGAGTCCCTGAAAGAAGACCTCTTGCTGTGTGCTCAGCAGGTGGAAAGAGCTGTTACCCAGGTAAATTTAAGACTTGGTCACTGCTAGACGGTGGGAGGGCAGCGAAAGAAGGGGGGAAATGGAGGGATTCCACATTTCTGGTTCCACTGACAGGCTGAATGGTGAGGTGGTAGATAAGTTGACTTTGAGATGCCTGTGTGACTCCCATTTGGAGATGCCTAGTTTTCTTGGAGTAGGCATAGGCATGGAAGTCTGGGGGGTAATTCGGCATAATATGTTAGATCACCAACATTCAAGTAGGAGGAAAAGGGGGAGAGGGTAAGCATAGGGTCAGTAACATGGTGAAGAGGAGAGAGTCACTGGTGCCAAATGTTGCATAAAGTTCAATTACAGTAAAGAAAGACTATTAGATTTTACAGTGAGCATTTCATACAATGCCCTTTGTGGGAACATTTTCAATGGAATACAAGAGACAGAACTCTCCAAAAAAGGGGGGAAGAGGTGAAGACATTTAAACAGTAAGTATAGATTATTTGGGGAGCTTTGCTCTGAAGGACAGAAGAGGTGGTAACCAACCACAGACATAGGAGTGGGGGACAGGATTTTTAAAAAGATAGGAGACTTAAGCTTATTTCTAGATAGGGGAAGGAGTCCCCCGTGTGGAGGAGGAAAATACCAGCAAGGGAATGAATCCCAGGAATGGAGATTCCTGCAGCGGAAGGAAATGGCCTGTTAAACAGAAGGATGAAAAGCACTAGTTGGTGTTCTTACATGCAGTATTCAGCCTACCCATGTTGAGCCACTGACGTTTCTTTTAAAGGCTATAAAGGGAAATGTAACCTGACTCTGATACTTGCATCAAGCTCCTATAAATAAAAGGTGCACTTAAGGCTTTATCAAGATAAAATGTACATACAAAAGTTAAATTTAATCCGTTTTTCTATGCATACTGAAAACACCTATTGTACTAAGGACATATTTATTGGTTCACATAAACAGGTGATTATTTGTCCCTAGTCCAGCTGGAAGAGAAGACCTTTCAGGCAAAAGAATTACCACTTAGCTCCAGAGAAATTCTGAACTAGCACTTAGCTGTCTGTCTTCCTTCCTCAAGTAGTCTCCTCCACTTTATCCCTTCTGAGCATTTTGCATAACAATTCTCCCTGTCGGGAGGGAGCGGTGGGAAAGAAGTAAGGATAAAATTAGTATAGCTGAAAAAACCTACTGAAAGTCTGGGGGCTTGAGTTCTATTCCGCTTGTGCCTTTAGCCAGTTTTGTGACTTTGAACCAGTCTTTGGCCTTCGTTTCCTCATCTCTATAATAAATGCTCTTGAGATCTTTTGAAGACAGAATACTATGCTTTTTTAAATTCCTATTTTGTGCAGCATGTTATGGAAGAGGCACTGGATTAAAGTCTTAAAACTAAAAAATAATGCGTCTCCAAATTACTAACTTGAGAATTCCTCGAAGAGCACTGTATTGATTTTCTTTACTAACAAAAGAATTTTAATGACACCGTGGGTACCGAGAACAGTTTATTTAGTTACATTCACCCACCATCAGCTGATATTTAGCTGACTGCGGAGAAGTCATGTGTTTTGAATGTAAGAATAGGCACTTTCAGATGCTCTCTGAGTGCCAGTAATTAGAGTAAGCCTTAATCCACTCGCTAAAAATAACTAAACATACGTTTCTTCTTACTAGTCTATTATTAATTTTACTTCAGATTCAGACTTACAAATATTCACTAAGAGAACAAAATGAGCTCATTGTTCAATTTTTTAAAGCCATTTCTAAAAATAGGGAGTACACTTCAGGTTCTCTTAGTAATCTTTTACTAAATCACTATAGCAATTTTGATCTCTCTTCAAATCTGTTAAAATATTGCTCTGAATATGTCTTAATTTTTGCCAGGTGCTGGGTTACTTTATTTAATACAGTTCCTGGCTATAGTTTTTAATATAAAACTTGGGCTCTGGAGTCAAATCACTGTTCCTGGGAAGGTTGCTCAATTAAGCCTGGGTCTCTTAAATGCAAGTAATAAAAGTAATAATGGTATCTCTGGAAGGGTTTTTGTGAGGATTAAAATGGTAAAATATGAGGACTCAATGAATGTTACCCGTTATTATTATGTTTCTCTTTCTCCCCTAAGCTTTCCGGAAAGAAGTACCTTCTTATAATCCTGATAACTAGATGCTCACCTACAATAAAGAATTCATTTAATTTGGTTGCTCTTTTACCATTCTGAGCAAGAGCAAACATTAGATAATGTGTTGTGGAGGTGTTTTTTTTTGTGTGTGTGTTTGTGTTTAATATTACTGGTTGGTGCTTAAGACGCATCCGTCTGGTGATATTTTAGAAATATTAGAAGTAAATATTTAGAATTGACTAGTGTTAAAATGCTGTTGATTTGTAAGTAAAGAGGCAATACGGTGGTTATGGAGCAAGGACTGTGCAAGCATTAGATTACGTAACAGTAACATTGAAAAAAATCTTTTCATTGAGTCCATTTGATGCAATGGATATATTGAAGCAAACAAGACAAAAGGAAGAAACAAAAATAACAACTATGCATTCTTGAGACTTTAAACGCCTTTTGAAACTATAGAATGTTCTAAAGATTATACCTGTAAGTGGCTGTATAATGGCTTCATGGAAGACATAGTCACATAGGGAGCTGGAGCTGTTTATTTTATTGGGAAATTATGGCAAGTGAAAAAGAACTAAGTTTGAAAAGCTCACATCCTTTCGACAGAAGGTAACTGTTCTTATTATCCACAAACTAGACAGATTATTTCTAATGAAGTTGATACCATTAGTACATGGTGTAAAACGATGGCTGCTATTTTATTCGCAACTGAATACAATGAAAACTTCAGTTAGTTGTGGATTTGATTTGGATTTGTTTTGTTTTGAATTCCTATCTACTGTTAACATATTGGTAGCTATAGGGTATTACCAGATGAAATTTAGTTTTAAAAGTTCTTTTGGACAAATACTTCCATTGTATTAACTTAAATATTGCACTGTCACTGTTGATTTTTGCATCCTGGTGGTGGGGGGGGGGGCAAAAATGTGTATATTTTTAAGCTTAAATTAGACTGATTTAAGTTAAAAAATCTTATAATTAAAAATTTTGCCCGAAACTAGTAGTAAATTCTAATGGAATCATTTAGCACTCTGTTCATGTTAGCTAGTTATGTCTGGTTTTCAATCTAGCATTTTTAATATCAGTTCCTTTAATCTTTAGTTTTCTTAAGTCAGGGCATCTTAATGTGTCTTTTGTATCAACTTCCCCAAATTCAAAACTCTATTTGGTGAGCATGGATTCAGGAGGATGGAGAGTTATAATATCCCATTGCATTTTAAACAGATAAACAAACACAGGTTAGTGCTGGGAAAAAGAGGGAGAAGCTTCTTTGTTCAAGTTGGAGGTGGTGCCCTCTTATGTCCTTCTTGATAATAAATGAACACATTCAAATGCCTCCTACCCTATTTTAAATAAATGACTAGATGTAGAAGTCAGATAGAATGAATATGGCAAAAAGTCATGCCGTGTATGACAAGGGATGTTGGTGTGGTAGATGGAAAAGTGCCTGGAGTTAAGGTCTGAAGATCAGATTTCTTGTCCCAGTACAACCATTTATCAGGTCCTGTATTCTTGGACTTTTTTTTTTTTGTCTTCTGTAATCAACGATGATGACGCTTGCTGTTGGAAAGATCAAGTAAGATGAGATGTTTTTGATAATATTGAAATTAGTATGTTGTTATGTAAATAGTTATTCTCACACTGAAGAGCAGGAATTCATTGAATGGAGATTGTGCTCATTTATATATTTGCATTACTGCTTTGAGCAGTAAATTGCCCATTGTGTTTTCTAAAAATCACTTAAATGCTACTCAGCGAAAATCACAATCTCAACTGAAATTTGTTCAGAATGTCTTAGGTTTGTTTTTTTGTAAAGCCCTTAAATACACTTAAACCATTTGAAAATGCTCTTTTAATCCTCCTCAAAGGACTTGGTCATTTGATATGCCTTGAAGGATTGTATGTTAATAAGTTTTGGCTTTCTTGGGTTAAGTATAACCATTAAAATGCTAATTTGGAGGAGAATATGAGTTTATCAACCTTATTCCTTCAAGGGAGAATAACCTAGACTTCAATTCAACAGGGTAGAACTTGGAAAAATTGAGGCGAGGTCTCAGTTTCCTCTTCTTTTTGTCTAAGTTCTATAATAACTTGGAACTGTTGTTCTTTTCTTGGGGTTTATTGCACAATACTAGAAACTTCCTTTTTAAAAATAATTTATGCTGTTAGAAGCCAAGATGGTAGTTACCCATGGGGGTGGGAGGTTATGACCTAGAGAAGCTAGGAGACGGGGTTCAGTAATCTGTTTCTTGATCTGGGCGCTGGTACACGGGCAGGTTCACTTTGAAAACTCATTAAGCTATACATTTATGACTTGGGTTCTTCTCTCTGTGTATATTACACTTTAATAAAACATTCCAGAACATTGTTTTCACATTGACAATACCAGTAAGTCCTTCAGTTGGAGAGTTTATATTCTTTCCTGTTTACTTGTAGTTTGAATTAGTCATGAAGTGCATTTTGTTTTAAAATTAATTTCACTTCAGAACAACCTGGGTCAGTTATGCTTTAGTATCTACATAGAAAGGAGCCTGAAAGGCAGAAGAGCAAAATACTCTTTCTAGATTGTGTGATTGAATGATTATTATTATTTTCTTTTTTTGCTTGCCTATACTTTTCAGATTTTCTCTTAGGCATTTATTACATTTGTAATCTAGGAAAAAACTAATCTGTACTATTGTAAAAGAGGAAATAAGCTGTATAAACATGGGGTCTTTCACAATAGGATATGAAAATATATTTAGGAACCATGATTATAGGGTAAATTTTTTTTCACATTTGTTTTTGTTACAGATACGCTAGTCTGTATTTTTGCTGTGCTATTGAGGATCAGGACAATGAGCTAATTACCCTGGAAATAATTCATCGTTACGTGGAATTACTTGACAAGTATTTTGGCAGTGTGAGTAGCATTTTGTTTTAAGGAATTGAATGCCATAGTTTTATTTCTTTAATCTTTTCTATAACAAGTTTGATTGTCTTGGGGATTCTGATTCTTTGAAAGTAACTGTGGGAGAGAGAAAGAAAGACTCTTTTTTGTCAGTGTGCCTAGTCAATCAGTTAACTGCCAAAATTGCTTGACCCCACAGACCTATTCATTTAATTATGATGGTAAGAATGAGGTTTAAAATAGTGAAATAGAAAGGAGTCCAACTGCAAAGAGTAATATATAGAAGTGCTTAGTGAAGAATTTAGATTTTGTTGGCAGTTATAATCACATTACTCAGGAAATGGGTATTTGCAAAGATCAGCTTTTATGAGTAGAAAAGTTGCCCATGCAGAGTTGGTCTGACTTAGCATGTAGGCATTGTGTTTTCAAGTACTTGAGATTTGAAAATTAAACTGACTAAATCAATGATGCTTAGTTAACAAGATTGCCATTTTTAGAAAGAACTTAGATGGATTCACTCTGGTCAGATTTTATTCTCTATACTTATCTTTTGCTTTATTATAATTTTTTGTTTGTTTTGTTTTTCAGGTGTGTGAGCTTGATATCATCTTTAATTTCGAGAAGGCTTATTTTATTTTGGATGAGTTTCTTTTGGGAGGGGAAGTTCAGGAAACATCTAAGAAAAATGTCCTTAAGGCAATCGAGCAGGCCGATCTGCTGCAGGAGGTAAGCTGGGAGTTCTCTAGACACTAGCATGTTTTGCTTTTGTTAGGAAGTGTCAGTCATCTCTCATTCTTACACAGTTTCAGAAATTACTCTGAAGCATGCTCGGCATGCAGTGTCCGTGTGCAGTTTATTGATTGGAATATGTCAGTCATGTCAACTCCATTATCTATGGATGGATCATTTACTTTGAAAATGGTCGGTCATATTGATGGCCAGTTTTGGACCTCAAAAAACTAGAGTCTAAACCTTTAAAGGACAGACTAAGAAGGGAAAAGATTCATCAGATATTAACAGTAATTTGAGAACTCTCCATCCATTGTTTTGAATTACTTAAGATAACCCCTTTTCTCATTAATGTAGATAATCAGGAGTTGACTGAGATTATGGCATTTTCATTCCAAATTTCATCTTTTCACCTCATGTCCATTAAGTGCAAATGTAGCCAAGCAAACCATAGTGTTATAATTACTTTTTGTAGAACCCTATAGTTTTGTGTTAGGAAAACAAACTGAAAAGTACTTTTCTTTGCTCTTAGATAACAATACATGTTCTGTCAAGCTACTGCATTCTTATCTTGCCTTCATATCACTAGAGCCATTAATAAACCTCCTTCCCGTTCTAATTTCTACAGTTGTTCTGGGTTAACTGTGTAGTTGATACTTCTGTACCTTTGATTTCTGAAGTTTAAAATTTCATAGATAAGGCTACCTTTTCCTAAAAACTTAATGATACCTTAATTCAGGTACCAAGTTGAATTATGCTTTAGTGATAATTGTGGTTTTAATCAAACAAAGTTTATAGCATAAGAAGAAGGGACTACTCAATATAACAAATGTAGCATGTTTTCATTACAGTAACCACCAACTTGTTCTCTATATGTATGGGACTTTTCGTTTTGTTTATTCATATGTTTTGTTTAAATCCAATTTTTTAGAACTTCTGTTGTAACAGAAGGGTAAATCTCTTTTTCTCCATTATAACTTCTTAACCATTGACCTCTATAATCCCTCTGCATCAGTCACTGACTATGTCAGTTGTGGAAATTGCTCAAAGTTGGGATGACATCATCTGGGCCACACATATATAAAATATGAGACAATGCATTATACATTTAGTGATCTTGAGTTACCAAGACAGTGGTTAAGATACCTGCAAAAGTGAAGCATTTTATTAGCTGCCCTGATGCCATTCACTATTCAGTAGTGAAATGAGCATAGCTCCTCTTCCACATGTGTACAGTTTGCTACGGTGGTTTATTAATTGATTGCAAACATGTCATTGGGGAGAATTTTTTTAACATCAGGTGTGCTGATTGCAAGCTCATAGTCTACTCTTGTTAAGTTGGTTTTAGGGTTAGTACTCATTATTTTGCTGTTCACAGATCAGACTTTTCTAAAAATTAGGTCAGAACCAGAATCAATAATTGGAGATTTTCTATATTTGTCCCTTCCCTTGATCACTTTCATATTTCATTATTATGGAACTATAGTCTGTTCTATCAGATCCTGGTATTTCCTCCAAGTTCATTTCCTGATTAATTATATTTGCCTTAAAACATTTCTAAAGTTATTGAAGTTAAACTTTTAATTTTAATGGGGTTTTTTTCTGGAGAGTTTTTTTTTTTAGGGTATTGATATCTCCTTGTGTCTGGATTTTTTAAAACTGTACTGGGAAATTGCTAGACTTTAGAGTATGACAAATATGCTAACTTTACTTTATAGCATGTATTGTAAGTAATGTACTAGCTGATAAAAAAAGTTATTACAGGTCCATATTTATTTGTGAGAGAATGTATGTGAGTGTGTGTGTCTCTCCCCTATTGAAGTATTAGAGTAGTAAGTAATGTCTCCCTTTTTGAAGTAGTATTTTTATATCTTCAATTGGGGAAAGTAGGAATGGAGAGACATCATAGTATGACTATAGTCCTGTGTAAAATTTTCTTATTCATCTCACCCTAGTTTTAAAAAAATAACAAAGTCTCTTGTCTTTAGAAGAGAACGTTGGCTCTATTTCTCATCTATAACTATGTTTACATTTTTTTGGTACATAAACAAAAGTGATAGTACATTAAGACATTTTCTATTCAATGGTCTGAGTGAATCGTTTTTCTTAATTTTGCCATTCAGTTTTTGGGAAGGCAGAAGGTGGCTGGTCTATTATGAAGTTAGAGTGAGTTATAATACATTGCAGGTTAAGACCATTATGAAGCCAAGCTACAGTCTATATAGCTTGGGGAGTAAGGCCTCAGGTTAACGGGTTAACCTGTTATTCAGGTTATTCACCAACATACTGTCACATGAAATCTAGAGGTGACAGATGCTTGCTTGTTTCCTGAAATGGATTCATTTATATGTTGATACATGATACATGTTTACATTTCTGGAAGAATATTTGAAAATTTTGTTCATATCATAGCTGGTGGAATAAGATGAGAAAAATCATTCCACAAACTGCTAAAAACATTTTTATATGGACACCATGACAACAAAAGAGAAGTAAGATGATAGCTAATGCTTATTGAGCACTTAAATATGAGGCATCCTATACTAATCCTCAGGATGCCCTGAGAGTCATGAGAGCCTTTGCAACAAATGAAGTAGAGGCTCATTGGGTCCAGTAACTAGTCCTAGGTAGCAGCTGGCAAAACCAGGATTCCAAACCCAGGTATCCTAGACTCCAGAGCTGTGTGAAGTCTTAACCACTGTGCTCTTGTCATTCCCCCTAGCCCCCATTTGTGTATTGTCATGGTATGTATATTTTAAACATTCTGTTTTAAATACCAACTTCTGTGTTCCTCAGTAATATTATTTTAAAAATTCATCATGCTTCTGGACATTTCTCTGTAGTGAACAGAGTAGATGTCCAATGCCATCTTTTACTTTTTGGACTGGAAATTTCATTTTCCAAATTATTAATAGTTGGAATTTTAAAATTGGATATATACTAGATATAAATCATATATTTCAGATCATTTCTTGTTACATTCATCAGAACACATAGATCTAAAGTAGCTTTTTTGGTCTTATAATTTGGGGTGTAGTATTCATTTAGTTTATAGCTGTAAAGACAGCCTTAAATGCAGCCGTAAATTTGTAAACGTTTTAAGTAATTGATTTTTAACCTAGTTTTTCATGTAAAACTAACCCTGAACAACACGGGTTTGAATTTTGCAGGTCCACTTATATGCGAATTTTTTTTTCCAATAAATGCCTCTATTCCTCCATTGGGAGTCCCTGGGTGTGGAGGACCAACTGTATGCATTGATCTACATCATTTTATGTAGAGGACTTGACTGTCCTCAGAGTTTGGTATCCACGAGGGATCCTGGAACCAATCCCCCAAGGATACTAAGGGACATCTTGAGTTCTTGGGGGAGTCAAAAGTGATAGTACATTAAGACATTTTCAACTGCATGGTGTTGGTGGCCCTAACACCACCACCCCCCGCCACACACACAGTAGGTGGTTGTTCAAGGGTCAACTATATTGTGATTTTTCTGTTTGGTGTCAGGTTTTTTTTACTTAAATTAATTATTTTTAAACACCAAAGATGGCTTAAAGATATATGCAAATCAGAAAATGATTTTGATTTTAGTCCTTTTTAATTTGTGAAATATACATTTCTATCCTTAATTATGTTTATTTTCTTTAGAACAATTTCTTTAAAGTTTCCTTTTTACCCAATATGTAAATGTCATATAGTTTGTTTAGGTAGTCCTTCGTTTATTTAGGTAGTCCTTCTGTAGGTAAACAGGGTAGACAGTAGTGGATAAAGTAGATTTTCAATTAGCATATTATAGTTAATATTGAGAACTTAAATGTGTACTCTGATAATTGCTAACATATCAGACATTGCGATTAAGTAATAAAGATACCTTTTTTATTTTACTTAATTACTCGGTAAACAAGGGTTTTACTTTTGACAATTCTAGACTGAACTGTGTTTATTCCTTTTGGTATTCGGTTTTATGAATACATAATTAGATTTGGAGGTAAAGCCCAGAAAATTTTGTCCATTATCCAATTTTTAATGCTTGACTGTTGGAATTTAAAATATGTTTTCTTAACATGCCACTGGTACTTAACTAGATTTTTAAAAAATTAAAATGCAACATGCTGAGATTACTAAATTGACATTCTTTTTTTCCCCCTGTACTTTGAACATTTCTCCCCCCTACACATACCAATTAAATATCTATTTTAAGCTAGACTTTTTAGGGGGGTTGAGAGGGGGAGTGGTACAGTTGGATTCATTTTATTAACGTATAACAAAGGGAATATAGAGTGCATTTTCTTTGTAAAGTAAGGCACTTAACAGTTTTTCTTTGCTCCTTAATTTTATAGAGCCAGAATGAAGAATGGGGAGGTTTGTCTGAGGATATCTTATGATAAAGAGCAGTCTAAGACTTTAGTCCCTTTGACCCCCAACTTATTTATTGGTAACTACTAAATTTACCATTTTTGTGGCATGGATAAAATGGAGTGTTATGCAAAGACTGTTGCACGCGAGATGATACCAAGTCCTTGCTTGATCCGTGAAGATCCAAACTTAACTACTGGGCATTGGGCTTTAACCCTCAGCAGTAGATGCATGATGGTGTTGATCAGTGCTTTTTGAGATGTATCAATCTTTCTTTTTTATACTAACAGCATCGTTTTGAAATTTGTGGGGGTTTCCTTTTGAGCTTTGTTTGCTGTTGGTATTGTTTCTCACTGAAACAACCTGAGAAATGAAAATAAGTGAGGTACCAAAAGCAAGCATTACTCTCATGAATTTGCTTCTACTTAGAGATGATCCACTTTATGAATAGATTTATTGGATTTGCAGTTATTAACCTGCCTGTCTAGAAAGTGGTGCTCTATGGAAACTAGTGCTGGGGCTGCATGATATATTTTAGTACTATGCGATATTTTTGTGGAAGTAGTAATCTGTTAGAATGCATTAAGAAAAAGTGATTTCTTTAAAAAAATAAATCTTTTGTAATTTAAAATTATTTTAAT